AGCTACAAAGTAAGTTCAAGGCCAGACGGAACTGCATAGTGAGACCCTGTCTCAAAAACACCAAGAAAAATAATAAAATAAAATAAAATAAAAGTAAAACCTATGTACTAGCTCTCATGACAGACATGCTGGCACCAGCTCTGGATTAAGTATTGTCTTCTCTCTATATCCTTTGTTTATTTCTTAAAAGGGGTTCCCGGTCCCTTGCAGCTTTACCTGTTGGGACCTTGAACAAAGAAAAGGTAAACTTCAGAGAAGGGGTAAGAAAAAGAGGCACAGGCAACAAACGTAATCAGGTACCTAAAGGTATTAAGTACTCTCCTCCAGGCTACTTCAGACCAGTACTAGCTAATGGAAAAATAATGCAAGCCATATACACAATATTAAATTCTTTTGGAGCCATAATAAAAGTAAAAAGATAAATTAATTGTAATATATTTTAACCCAATAATGGATTTAGTATTCAAGATACTGTTCCTTTAACATGAAATCAATATTTAAAAACTGAGCTATGCCTTTTTTATTAAGTCTTCAAACTCTGGCATGTGCTTAATACCACTGCAGGTCTCAAACTGAGACAATTTTGAGTGCTCAGTATCTATGTGGACAGTGGCTACGGTGCTGGACAATGCCGCTTTAGACTACCCATATTTTGACCAATAAACCTGAATCTTTAGTTATGAGTGAATTAAACCATACAAGAAGAAGACAAAAAGTGATAATAACAATCTGCGAATATTTCAAGACAGAAGAGGTTTTATATTCCCCAAGGAAGCAGGAGCTTAGACAAATAAGCTCTATTCAATTTTCCAGAAAGTGAAAACTTTCTAATAAATACAGCTGTGCATTAAATGGCTAAGAACCCTAAGGCAGAGGCAACTTCCTGCCATTATTCCTTCAGGTCCTCCCTGCAGAACACCTGGTGAAGATACTACACAGAGTGTGGAGTCTGTGAGACTCTTCCAATGCCCACAACTCGACAGACTTTAACTTTTGGTTTTTCTCATTCTGTCTAAAAGTGTCCTGCAATCTAGTCTGAAATGTATTTCCTATTATCTGCTTCTCTCCAGATTTTAACAAGTATTTTTCCCAAACATGTGCAGTCTAATAATGGGAACCTACTTGCCAAATGTGGCTTTTCCCACCCAAGTGAAATGAAATACAGTTGAAAGTTCAATTTCTCAAGTTATTCACTCAGGTGATCAAGAGCCAAGTGGGAAAGAGATGCAAAGTGCTACTTGTTTTTTTTTCTTTGACGCCTAGTTTTGGTATTTGTACTCCTCAGTACAAAGCGTACAATACTAGAATTAAACAGGGATAACTGGATTCCTATCTTAGCTCCACCAGTAACCACATCTATATAAACCACAGTACAAATTTACCTTTCACAACTCCCAGCGTCTCAAAACACTAGTAATTCTTAAGGAACTTGACAACGGCAATAGTACATACTCCCCCAGTGGTCAAGTTACTCATTTCAGGGTATTTTAATTGGTTCTATACACATACCGCAAGTGAAACCACACCAAAAAATAACCAGCTGCATATTTAGCAATTACCTGGATGTTAAAATGATCAAGAATTGCAATCAGCTCTTCTTTCCTAGTAGAAACCACAGCACCTAGTTAGGATAAATATATAAAATGACCATATTATTTCTAGGGCAGCAATATAAGAAAATACAATTACTTATAAACTATGAATATTAATTATGCTCAAGCACTGCAGTCAATTCTAGTAGAAACGATGGAGCTGAGTACAGAGAAACAAGCAGAATGACCACATTGCTTCTAGGACAATAACAGAAAAAATGTACAATTACCTATAAAATACAAATAATTAGTTACCTTTCATTGTGTACCACAAGGTAAAGTACCACTGAACACCCTTAAATCTCAATGAACTAGGCTGACATTCCAGCCATGACACAGAATACAGAGGAAGAAAGTGGCCATGTATAGAAATCGTGCATACCTTCTCCCACAGTTAAGGATTTTACTTTGCTCCTCACCTACCTCTTCTTTTCCATACCTCTAAACACTTTTCTCCTCCTTTATGTCATTTTTCTATCCTTTGTTATGTCATTCCATAAGCTCTAGACACTATATTTTTGTTTTAAGACTCACACTGAAAGGACGTGTGGGTCTTAGAACAAAATGGCCTCTATCTCAAACTGTGCCAATTCTTCTAATGACAGTGTTACCATCAGGGACAACTCTCTGTAATGTATGCATGTACCTACATGTGTGTTTATATACACACACAACTGACCCTGTTACATAAAAGAGGTTTCAAGAGACTGGGAAGATGTACCTTTTCAGTAAATACCAGCACAGTCACTTAACTCTTTCTGAGTTGTCACTAATTTGGTACTTGGTATTAAATGGTTCTAGGAGATGCAATGAAAACCAAACTGTTTTGGTAGTAAGTCATGAGGAATCACTCACTCAAAGTTCTAGTTTGTGTGGAGTACAAAATAAATCAGTACAGGGATAAAATTTCTGCATCAAAATGCAATGAATATCAAATTTGATGGATTTTAAAGAAGTAGAGTACTAAGTTATGACTGCATATAAAATGAAAAGAAAATCAAAACAGACCTGTTTGACTTTTTAGTTTATAGGACCGACTTCCATCCATGCTGATGTGCTGCTGCACAACTATGGCGTCACCATACACATTTGCTCTATAGGCATCATCTCCTCTGTTCCTCAATGTGACTGTAATATCTGCCGAACTAACAACAAGGTGAAGCTAAGTCACAGAGGTACAGTGCGATTACAGTATTAAGTTACTAGATTTTCAAATATTCTCAGAAGCCCCTAATAATCCGGCTCATCCATTTGAAAACTGGCTTTACATCCACAGCTGATGACCAACAACTGATCAGAGAACAGCAATGATACTGTACATATCCAATAAATTTGAGAACAGAACCCCCATGAAAAATAACTACTCTATGCATAACAAAAATACATTTGCATGAACACACAATTTTGGTTGTTTCAAGTTATATAGATAAGTTAGACATTTTTCTATAAGAACTGTAACCAAGTCATTAATAAAGTCTACATTTCCCTATAAGGATCACATAATCAACATTATACTGCCTAACTACTAAGATTTACATAATAAACCATACCAACAGTAGACCTTTAAAACGATGATGAATTAAGAATTATGGCAAAGTAATAACATTTTCAAAAGGATTATAATTTAGGGAGGCAATTTTAATTTTTCAGTTACTTGACAATTTAAAAAAGTGAGCTGCGTATAGTGGCACATGCCTATGATCACTCTGGGAGACTGAGGCAGTAGGATCACAAATTTGAACTCAGTCTAGGCACCTAAGGAACTTGGTGAGACTCTGTCTCAAAATCAAAAAAGGTGCGGGGATATAGCCCATTGGCAAAGGCCCTGGGTTCAATCCCTAGGTACCATATACACATACACACACACACACACACACACACACACACACACACACGCACACTCCACACAATAAAAGTATCAAGTACCAAGAGACATAAACTGGGGAGTATACAGGAAGAAGGGAAAGGTTAATTAATGAATATTAGGTTACCGTCAGACAGAAGTAGTTCTGGTGTGCTATTACACGAGGTAAAGGGTACTACAGATGACAGTGATATACCATACATTTGAAAAGGATTTGAGTACTGTTTACCATAAAGAAATGATTAGTTTCTTGAAGCATTATTAGTATTAAAAAAGATCTTAATACAGTATAAAATGGAACTAAAACACATGACTGTTAGGAGTATAAATGTGCCTGCTAGTCTCTACTATAGTTTTAAAGTTCTAAAAAGTTTAAGGCATTAATTATATATATTTTAAGATATTATGAAGAAGCAATCTTTATTTACCTACTCTAAGTTCTATTAAAATAAAACTTGGCAGAACAAAATGTTGATGATAGATATTAATAAATACCTATTCGTTACATATAAAAGCAGAAATATTTTCTTGATTTACACAATCATCTGCCTAGAAGTCCTCTGACATAAAACCGTTTTAATTGGCAATTAAATGAAACCATTAACACTACAACTTGTTTTCATGACTTTGTTAACATACTCCAAAATTTCCCCCTTGTAGAAAATATACGAAAAAATACATCAAGATAAGCCCTATACTACATTCCTGACGTGACAGTGGATGCAGGAAGGGTCTGTTCAGCCCCAGTCAAGTGCCCTGGCAACAGGGGCTTGCACCCTCCCCTGTGCACTGAGTCATGATCAGCACTCCATAGCAACTGAGCAATTAGGCTCTGTTCTGGTCTTAAATTCACATCAGGAAAAACTGGTGAAATCCTAAAATAAGTCTGGAGTTTACTCAACTGCATAGATTTGTTAAACTTGTCTTAGTTATGGTTAAGATATCAATGTTAAGGCAAGCTGGGGGGAGAATATAAAGGGAACTGCACTATCTTTACAACACTTCTGCAAATGTAAAACTACTTCAAAATAGAGTTTCTTAAACTTTAAATTTAGAAATGACCAAGACAAGGGATAGTGCTTTCTTAGTGCTATAGTTGAAGTGTCTGCAACTACAGAACCTGGTTGGAGTACTACACTCTGAGGAGGAAATAGTCCACAGAGAAAAGGAGGAGCATAGGAGAAATAAGTTTTTAGGAAACCACTAGGACACACTAACAGAAACAGCCACACACCCACAGGAATTAGGCAGGGAATTAGAAACCCTGAGAACATAAGCTCACTTCCTTCCATACCACCAGGCTAAGAAAGTGAGGCATAAACACTTATGCTCAGGAAGGCACAGGGACAAGGACTAAGTTTATGAACAGAAAGGACTCACATTGTCCTCTAAAGACAATGAGAGAGAAAACAGTCACATACCTTCGCATCCATCGAGGAGGAGGAAAGAGAACATTCAGAACAAAATACAGCCAACAGGAGAGAAGAGTGTAAGATTCAGAACAGAGGAAGAGCCACAGAACAGACCTAAAGAAGGGAGATGGAGACAGAGCCCAAGACAAACGGACAGCCACAAACACAAAGACCCAGAGACACAGGTAGTTCAGCCTGGTCCTTTATGAGGCTCATTTGCCTCTTTATAAAAGATACCCTTGTATCTAGAGCTACCTTGAATAGATGGGTGTTTTTTTTTTTTTCTTCCAGCAAAATTATCTAATTTTTAAAAAGTTCCTTAAAAATTGTAATTAAGGAACTTTTTAGAAGGATTTTTAGAAGTTTCCCCAAACAGACTCTATAAACACCCAAAGCTCAAAACCATTAACTATATGACAAGGCAAGGGAAAAAACTTGAGATATGTAGCAAAAAATTATTTCATTTATGACTATGACTACTCAAAACTAACACATCTTATAAAAAACATTTAAAAATAAAATTACTATCCATATTCGCTCTCGGCATTATCAAACATGCCTCTTAACCAGCAAACATCACCTTATTATCTTCACTCCTACTACTCCCTGCATTCCAGAGCTAACTTTAGTAAGAACTTTAGAGCACTGGCATCCTGCTGCTATGTAAGTTTAATAGCCAGGGAAAGTTTTTGAAAAATTACCATTATAAATAAGTCTCACAATAACTGCTCAAAAAACACAACAAACCGAACTTACACAAACAGACAGGCACAAATACGCAGGGAAGTGGCTCATGCCTCTCCCTCTACATTGATGTAGCCTTTGCTGATACTGACAGAGCCACAAAGTCCTATGTCTGTATCAGTGAGAGCTCTTTCAAGGAAAAACCTACATATACAAGCAGTGCCACAGTCAAAATTTGGTTTCTTAACTCCAGAAGCACCTGTCTCTCTCTGCACAACAGCTGACAACCGCACATGCTGATAGAAACAAGAAACAAGGAAAAACTTATTTAAAAGTGTGATGCCTATGTTCCTTCTCTGGGTAGCCAGCTCCTCAAAATGAGTTCTATACCCTTAACTAGATAAATCAAGAATACATAACAGGGGCTGGGGATTTAGCTCAGCGGCAAAGCGCCTGCCTGGCAAGCGTAAGGTTGTAAGTTCGATTCCTGGTACTGGAAGAAAAACAAAACAAAACAAAAAAAACAAAAAAGAATACGTAACAGAAGTATGAGTTTTGTCCCTCCATAACTTCCACGCCATTATGAATGTCAAAAACAGGACTACTGCACAGATCCCAAAGCCACCAGGGCAATTTTAGAAAGTCTTAAGGGTGGGAAGAAAGAACAACATGTTTAGGGAGAACCTAAAAAGCAAGGAGCACAAGACCTCTTGTCACTGAGAGAGATCCATGAGAAAAGGTACATCATGAGAACTCATATGTTGTCCCCAAACCACTGCAAGGAATGGCAGACGATCAGATGAGAAGTATAAGCTAGTGCGCCAGCTAGTTTTTCTTTTTTTAAACAGTATTCAGGACAAGTCTCAGACAGAAGTTTCTGCTTTAGTCCAAGTACTTCCTAAATTGGAATAAAAAATTTTTTGAAGTGCTTGGGACATGAAACAGAGATACATAAAAAATAATTTCTTCCTGAAACTTATGTTTGAAAGATCAGCACAGTATCTGGCAGACCAGGTAACTGTCTGGACAACTACAAAATGAACAGTTAAGTGTAATGAAGTAGAGTTGCACCATGAACTCAAAGATGTTAACATAACTAATTTCCATTTCAGACATAATTGGGGGGCAGCGGCAGAAGACTTTGGGTGGGACCCAAATAAAATTAAGCAAAAAGAGAAAATATGTTGAAGAACTCTCATCCAATAGCTCTCTTTTGAGGCCAAAAAGCACCAGAAATCACTATATTCTTGCTTCCTTTATATTACCTTGGAATCCTGGCTTAAGGTTAAGATTCTCCTAAGCAATACGTAAGAAGTCAGCTATCCTGATTTATGTCTTGTCCCCATTCTACTTTTGAGTAATAAAGTAAGAAATTAAACAGGTGAAAACACTAAAAAAAGAAAGTCTATTACATGAGAAAAAAGATACTGGCACTAATTTTCGTAATTCTAAAACTTTAAAATAACAAGACTCTATAACACTTTGGAACATTAGTGGTTATTAGAAACAAGGATCCTCTCACAAGCACTGGGAATAGAACAAAAAAAATAAAGACCTGGAGAGAAAGCTGCTATTGGGCAAAAGACAAGTCATGCCAGATGTGGCACACACCTCTTATCCCAGCACTCAGGAGGCTGAGGCAAGAAGATTGCTGTGAGTTTGAGGTCAGCCTGGGCTACATAGTTGAGTTCAAGGCCAGCCTGCTTTACAAAGCAAGAACCTGTCGCAAAAAAAAAAACCAAAAAACAAAAAAACAAAAAAAAAACCAAGAAAGCAAAAAAAGAAGTCACAATGGTGCAAATCGAACAATTTATATACCATTACTGAAAGCAACCTATGACAAGACAAAATGGCAAAAAGAGAGTGACAGTATGACCATTCATCAGGGTTAGATGGACCACAAACTTATGATTGTGGTCTTCAAATCAAACTCACTGGTTAAAAGGGAATAAAAGCAAAATCAGAGCACAGGATATTTTTGAAATTTTGTACACGGACTCATTAGCTGGTGGCTGACTGCTCTCTCCCTTGTCGCATCCACATGGCCTTGCTGATGCTCCGTCTGCATCAAGAGCCAGGAAGGTGCAACATTCAAAAACTTGCCATTTGGCCAAGAAAGGGCAAGAAATGAAAAGCCATGAACCCTCTGTTCTGAGAAGCCCCTTCATTTCTAGCCGCCGCAACTACAGGATTGGGAATTAAAAGTACCCACTTCTACCTAAAGGAATGAAAATACACCACGACAGCAAAACACTTACTTCTGTCCATCTTTCACAAAACCTTTTAAAGAGGATCCTCTATTAGTAGCGACTGCTTTTCCACCGAGCCCCACAATGAGAGCTGTCAGTACGGCACTCTTTCCGCCTAAAGAGACAGATGTAAAAGAATTCACATTTGTTAAAAAGAACAGGAAAAGTGAACTCCTAAAACTTGATGGAAAAAGATTTTGGAATGAATTGAGTCTCATTTTGAAATAAAATGCTAAAATTTTAAATTTCCTCCAGTTACAAAGCAGCAAACTTAAAAGAACACTGTATACACTATGAAATATTTAGCTCCACTCTTTAAAAAATTAGTGTATTTTGGGAATCAAAGTTTTGGTACTCTTAAGGAAGTGGAAAAAAGCTGTGTGATACCTTCCCAACTGGAAACTGTTATTGTACCATCTTGGTCTATCAGCCCAATACATGAACTTATCCTTCTATTTACATGTACATACATTCAATTTATGTAATTTTATTACATTCTGATCGAGCTACAATTACCACTTTATCCCCAAACTCTAACGATAATAATAACAATATTAACAATAATAACAACTATCTTCAACAATTCTTGAATTTAAGCTCCACATGGACAAGAACATTCCATTCAATGCTGCACTCTCAGTAACATAGTTTTTGAGTGAATGAATGAACCAGGAATATTAGCAAAGTCATGTAGATGTTTTTGTATTTTTTACTTTTTATTTTTACTAGTACATGTTTGCAGTGCATAATGATGACATTCATACTGGCGAGTTGGCACATGTACATAACACATCTTAATTCTTTTTACATCTCCTCTATCCGTTTTCTCTCCCCACTTTATTAATATTCTAAGTTGTTATCTCTAATTTGAACCTTACTTTCTAGTTCTTTGAAAAGTATACCTCTTTTTACCCTGACAGATATAAAATATCACAATCTCCAATTTCAAAATTTACCCAGAAATTAACCATTTTCTGAACTCCACAACCAACCAATCAGCTCTTACGAGCCCATTATCCTCCACAATATACCCCACATTAACCAACATACACAGTGACCCAATTTAGCTCCTGGAATGACTTTCAAGTTCCTATTTTGATTTAACAAGTTAACTTTTAACAAGTTCCTATTTTACCAAATCCACTGACTCTACTTGCATTATTTCACCTTCTATTAAATTTTAATAAATGTAATAACTTATTGCTTCAAAAGTTAAAAAGAAAAAGAGAAAAAAATGCCCTAAGTTCAGAACACAAGTCTTCTTTACTTCTTGTCCCATGTGATTTCTTTGTAGTAGTTACCCCTTTCTCCGTCCATCTTCTCCTGAAACCTACTTCCTTTCTGACTAAATGATAAGGACAGAAAAGAGAACACTGGAGCCAATTGTGAAGGTACCTTGCGTCTTGGTCCACAAATGTCCCTAGGGGATAGATTCTGGCAAGCCTTTGTTTCCTTGTGAGCCATCTCAGCTGAGCCACCCACACCTGGTGTCTGGCCAGCTCATCACAATAGCTACTTAACTAGTCTTTCTGTCTCCTGTATTTTCCCCCTTCCAATCTGTCCTCCACACTGTGGCCTGTTCGTTTCAAAAATTTTAGCCATGTCATCTATTTACTCAAACATTTTCACTAGCATCCATTGACATTTGAATTAAACTCCAAAATCTTTATCATGATACTGAAGATCTGCAACAGTAGCACTCAGTAACTCTCCAGTGTCAGCTTCATTCCCTCATTTACATCTACTCACCCAACAGTTGAGATGGGCAATCTTTGCCTTGAGCATCTCAGCTTCTTCCAATGAGACCTAACAAATCTCTAATTTTCCTCCAGTACCAGTCAAATATCATAAAACTTTTACTGGTCACAACGTGAGAATTCTTACTTTCATATCTGGATTCCCACTCAATTCATTTGTGCTCTAATGCTTAGTCAAGGTAAAATGCTGGGGCTGATTCAACTGCATTGAGGATAGCCTGTTCACCTTTGTATGGATTAGATTACAAGGTAAGAATATTTTTTTTAAAAAGGAGGAGATTCCTGGGCATGATGACAACTATGTGTAGTCTCAGTTACTTGGGAGACTGAGGCAGAAGGATCATATGAGCCCATGAGTTCAAGGCCAGGTTGGGCAACATGAGATTCACGGGCAGGGGAGGCAGGAAGTGTTTTAACTGACTGTTTACCTAAAGTTGACCTAACATTTTCTTTAAAAGAAGCTGATAGTAAACATTGAGAATATTTATAATTGTAAGTTTCAGAACCATAAAACAAATATCTATCAGCACTAATAGTTACTTATTCCAAAAGCTAATGCATTATCTCATTCTTCTTCAGGCAAGAGAAGAGGGTGAAAGGACTTACTTCCATTGTTGCCAACAACAAAGTTGACATTGGAACCAAACTTGAAGGGCCCAAGCATGGAATGGCACATGAAGTTTCTTAGATGAATACTCTCAATTATCCCAACTTCTGCCGCAGTCTAAAAACAATGGGGAAAAGAATCAATCACGTGCACTTTGCAGATACCTAAAATCAACCATATTTTTACCAGACCATCCAGCTAAGTTTGAAGACCACTTTAATGTTTCTACCTATTTTAATAGTTTCTCTAGAAACACCTCAGTTCCTCTGGACACTCATTAGAAAGCAGAAAGTATTTGTATCTTTGTATAAGCAGAATATCAGAAAGCATGGTTCAACAATTTTTAAAAACATTTTTACTTTGGTAAGAAATAAACAGACCCTGTGAACCTTTTTTCCCAGTTTCTGTCAATGGTAACATCTTGTAAAAATAAACTGAGTATCAAAGCCAAGACACACACATATTGATGCAACCAAGCTGCAGAACAGTAGATCACTACAAGCATCTCTCACATTGCCCTTCAGTCATACCCACATCCCACATGTTCTACCTCCTTAAGCCCAGAGCCAAACATCAGTTTTTCCATTTCTGTAACTTTGCCATTTCAACACTAAACAAATGAAATCACCCAAAATGTAATCATCTGAGAGTGGATCTTTTCACCTAGCCTAATTCTCTGTTGTTGCCTCTAGTAGACATTTATTCCTTTAGCATTTCATAGTAAGAATGTATCAGACTGTATCCACTTGTTGGAAGACATTGCATCTTCCACAGTTTTTTGGTTATTATAAACTCCTAAAAACACTCATGTACTGGTTTTGTATGAGACAGATCTACTTCTCTGGGACAATGGCTGAGTTATATGGTAGTAATGTATTTTGTTTTGCTTTTGTTTTTTAACAGAAACTGATAAAACTTCCAGAGTGGTGATTATTTTATATTCCCATCAGCAATCTATAAATGATTCTGGGTTTTTGCCCCCTATTGTGTTCACTATTTTTTTCCTTTGGCCATTCTGATGAGTATGTAGGAATATCTCATTACGGTCTTTTTGTATTACCTTTATGTAGAATGACATTGAGTACCATTTCATGGGTTTCAAAGTATTATATACAACAGTGAACCTATGGCACACGATGCCACAGCTGGCTGTTATGACTGAAAGACCTAAAAGGTTCACCATCACTGGTACAGTACATTATCTGCCATCTGTACAGGTTTCTCCTGTCCATTCTCATATTCAATTGTTTGCTTTCAAACTGAGGAGTTGAGATTCTATATATATCCAGATACTAGTATTTTGCTGGAGGTCTAAAAATATTTTTTTCCAAAGTGGGAGCTTGAATTTCTATTTTTTTTAACAGGGTCTTTTACAGCATAAGTTTTCAATGTTGATGAAGACCAATATATCAAGTTTTCACTTTCATGCATTTTGGCATCAGGTCTAAGACTCTCAATACATTTACTTCTAAATGTCTTATAGTCCTGTGTTTACAGTTACATCTACTACCCTTCGATGCTCATTTTTAAGGTAACAGACTAAAGTCAGGGGCTACTTTTTCATCTACCACTGTACATCCCTCCAACACACTAGCTCTACAGACTACTTCCCCCGCCACTGCACTGCTTCTGCTTCTCTGCAAAAAGGAAATTCACTATAATTCCTATCATCTATTTTGCTGTTGAAAACTGGTCCTGTGTTCCAGTGATCTATGTGACTTTCCCAATACCAAGACCACATCATCCTAATTACTGTAGCTATCTGGTAAAAGCCTTTGAGTGAGTAATCATCCCTGCCACTTCATTCATTTTCATTATTAACTATTACTGTACCTTTGTCCTGTCAAATAAACTTTAAAATCAATTTTCCTACATCCACAAAAAATCTTGCTGTGATTTTGAACAGAACTGCATTACACTTGTATATCAACTTGGCAAAGAACTGATACTTTTTCTGCTGAATTTTCCAATCCATGAATGAGTCTCTCAATTTACTCAGATCTTTGATACCATTCATCAACAGTGCATAGTTTTCAGTGTACAAGTGCTGTACATATTTTGTTAGATTTAGACCTAAGCATTTTGTTTTCTTTTTCAGAGTGGTTTTAGATTCATAGAAAAACTGAGAGAAGATACAGATTTCCCGGATACCTCTTACTCCTGCACACGCACAGCCTCCCCACAATCAACATTCCCTGCCATAGCAGAACATTTCTTACAGTTGATGAGCCTGCACTGACACCACACAATCACTGCAAGTCCTTAGTTTACATTAAAGATTCATTCTTGGTGCTATATATTCAATGGGTTTGGAAAATTAAACATATGTAGAATGTATTATTTGCAGTATTGGCAACCGAACCCAGGGAACAGAATTACATCCCAGTCTTTTCTTATTTTTTAATTTTATTTTGAAACAAGAACTTTATAAATTGCCTGGGCTACTCTCAAACTTGCAGTCCCCTCCTGCCTCAGCCTCCATAGTAGCTGGGATACAGGTGTGCACTATGATGTCTGACTTAGAGAAATGTATAATGACATCTATCTACCATGAAGGTATTGTATGGAGTGTTTTCAGTGCCCTAAAAACCCTGTCCTCCACCATCTCAGCCCGTCTTTCTCTAACCCCAGAAACCACTTACATTTCTACTGTCTCCCCAGCTCTGCCTTTCCCAGAATGGGCAAGTTCACATCAGACAGTACACAAAGGTTTTTCAGACTTACTTCTTTCACTCAGTAATAAGAATTTTCATTTCCTTCATGGCATTTCATGCCTTCATAGATCACTTCTTTTTAGCATTAAAAAATATGCCGTTGTCTGGATGAACTATAGCTCATTGATCTATCCACCAACTAAAGAACATTTGCTTGCATTCAAGTCTTGGAAATTATGAAGAACACTGTTTAAAAAAACCTGTGTATACGCATGGGTTTCCAGTTCCATTGGGTAAATACCGAGGTGTGTGACTGCAGGATTATGTAAGAGTATAGTTTTACAAGAAACAGCCAAACTACCTCCTAAAGTAGCTGTAACATTTTGCATTCCCTGTATTGATGGAGACTTCCTGTTGCTACACACCCTTCTTAGCACTTGCTTGTGGTAATGGTCTGGATTTTCATCATTCTACAGGTGTAAAGTGGTATTTTGTTCTCTAATTAGCATCCTGAAACATTTTTTTCCAGTGATAATAAATGGCATATTTGAATTTTAATGTCTACATGTTCCATGCCAATATACAAAAATATAATTTTAAAAAATGTTTATCTTGCAAGTTGTAAGTTTGCTAAATGTACTTTTCAATTCTAAACATATTTTCGAAGTTCCCCAAGATATTCCAGTCAGGTCACCTGCACACCAGGACAGGTTTATTTCTTTCATTGCTAACCTCTATATCTTGTTTCCTTTTCCTGCTTTATCTGCACTAGCTAAATTTCCCAGCAGTACAGTGAATAGGAGTTGTAAGAGCAGACACTCTAGTTTTATTCCTCATTTGCAAACTAAAGTATACAATATTTTACCACTACGAGTATTACTTGTAGGTTTTTGTCTCCATGTTCCTCACTATGTTAAGGGAATTCCCTCTAATCAGATTTTTCTGAGAGTTTTAACAGGAAAGGATGCTGAATATGTCAAACACTTTTGTTGCATCTAATGATATACTATGTTCTGCCTTCTTTAGTCTGTAATATAGAGAATTACATTCATTTTCAGAATCAAACTTGCATTCTGTCTGTTACTTTTATCCTTGCTGAGACAAAATATCTGATACCCACAAGTTAAAGGAGGAAAGGTTTACTTCAGCTTACAGTTTGTAGAGATTTCGGCCCACAGTTGGCTGGATCCAAGGCAGGGTGGCATGAAAAAAGGGCATTGGAAAGGAAGAACAGTCCATTGTAGGGAAGGCAGGAGGCTGCAGCAAACAAGCAGAAAAGCTGCCAGCAGTAGCAGCAGCAGCCTTTTCCTCTCTCCCTTTATATTCCATCTAGGTGATAAACCTATTGATTGGTGCCACCCACACTGAGGGTGCGGCTTCCATTACCCACATCCATTACCCACATCTATGCTAAACTCATATAGTTATCATATACTCTTAATTTCAATACTATACACTCTAGATCCAGCCAGCTCTGAAAAGCATCACCTAAGAGTGTATGAGGCTCTGGGGGGTACATTTAGATATAAGCCATTACATGTGACTAAAAGAAAGCCATTTGATCACAGTGTATAATTCTTTTTACCTATTACTAAAATCTGTTTTTTAGTATATGTTAAAGATTTCTTTGTCCAGATTCATGAGATAAATGGGTATACAGTTTGCATTTTTTGGTTCTTTTAGTTTTGGTACCAACATAATGAATTAAAAAGTGTTCCACCTTCTGGAAAGACTGTGTAGAATTCATGTTAATTTTTCTCTAAACTTACACTGTACCTCTCTAGTGACCACCTCTCTAGTGACCCCAAGTAGGCATGGAGGTTTCTTGTTTTAAAAGATGTTAAAATATGAATTAAATTTCCTTAATAGTTACAAAGTTATGCAAGTTGTCTACCCCATATTGTTGAGTTGTGGCTGCTTTTGCTTCTTGAGAAGTTGGTCCACTTCACCTAAATTTTCAATTTTGTGTGGCAGAGCTGCTGTCTGTATCTCCTCATCTTTTTGATGTTGTAAGGTTTAGTCATAGCCCTATTTCATTCTCATCATTGATAATCTGTCTTTTGTTTCCCTTTTTTCTTCTTTGTTGGTCTTATCAGAGGTCTGTCAATTTTGTTCATTTTTGTTTCATTATCTTCTCTGTTTTTCTGATAATTAACATAAATCTCAAAATCACTCAGAAGTTATTTGACTTTAGCTTTTTAAAGATCTATTGCTTTTTCCTGCTTATGAATTATCATGGAATATGCATTATAAAAGAAACATGAGAAAAAGCACTTACCAAAGTAGAAGTGCCTTTAGTCAAAGAAACTGTACATTCATCTTCATCACTATCTTTATCAAAATCCTCTGATTCTTGTCTTGGTCTTTTGGCATTTTCAGGAGAGAAGAAACTGTCTTCCTTTCTTTTGGCCATCTGGTCTGAAAAAACTTTACAGTAACAAGGAAGTTAGTAGAGTACAAGGTGCATATGATTATTCTATAAATATTAAACAACAAAATAAATCACACAAAGCTCATTAAATTTTAAGTACTATGTTCATCCACTTCTAGTTTAAAAATTAAAGTTCTTTAGACTGCATACAAAAAAGAGGCTCTGAGTCAAATAATCCAGGAAAAGCAAATAAAAAGATCTTCCCTAGAGCGTCTATAAAAGAACTAGCTCTACCGACACTTTAGCCCACGAGACCAGGTAAGGCTTCTCATCTCCAAGTAGGCAGGGTAGTCAATTTATCACACTTTTAAAAAATCACTTGCATACTCTACATCAGCTAATTTTACTTCAGTTATTCACGACCCAGAGTTTTGTCAATGTGAGCCTACCTAAAAGTTTTGATGCCAAATTCACAAAAGATAAAAATTTGTGAGACTATGGTTTCTAGTTTTGTAGTCTATTAAGAGATGGTACAATGCTTCCTAAATTTATTCCAGAGCAATCACACAATTTTTCACAAGTTATAGAGTAGCAGCAAGTATAATAAAGCCTTTCATTTTTAAAGTATTTTCTCAGAGGCATATTTTGAAACAGTGTTGCTAACACTAGTAGTTTCCCTAAATGTTCCCCATATAGTCCATGTTGTTTATTTTTTGCCCAATATACTACAAAACATAACCTAGGAAATTATATTTAAAATTACACAAGATGCTGTTAAATATATATACTAAACTGTTATATATATACTAAGTCTCTGACTGAAATTAAACTTTAAGACGTTAGCTCTGTAGCTTCCCTCCTCCCTGGCTGGCCTGCAGGGCAGCAGTGTGATGACACACACCTGCAAACCTAGTATTCTGGGAGGCTTAAACAGAATAACCTCAAATTTGAAGCCCCCCAGGCAATTTAGTAAGATCCTATCTCAAAATAAGATAGAAAGGGCTGAGGGTGTAAGAAGGCTCTGGGTTCAATTCACCAAAAATAAACAAACAAAAAACCAAACTAAAACACATGCAAAGATTATCAGCCTGGTGTGGTGGTGCATACCTATAATCCCAGCTCTGGGGACACGGAGGCAGGAGGACCACCGTAAATTTGAGGCCAGCCGAAACTACATATACAATGAGACCCTGTATCAACCTCCCCAAAAGTCAAAGAATATGAGGACTCTCTAAGATACAAGGATATGAGGAATGGTTCAATCCACTTTAGTCCCCAAGTTCTGGACCACAGTAACTTTGTCTATACCGCGTTCTTGACTCTTCTCCCCCACAACAACAGCAGACCTCTCTCCTGAAGTGGACTGAAAGGTTCTAGTCAGTTCAGGTGTCAGCTATCCCATGTGACAGGCACATGGGCCAGAACCGTCTTAAGGTACATGAGTGAGGGAGAGGAGCAGAGACAAGGGCACTTACTCAGTGTTTAATGTCCTAATCCCCTACCTTCCAAGATTACACTGATGGAATCAATTCTGCAGAAATATTAAATTTTTATAGATGCATATCTTGGAGTAACTTTTGGAGAACTATCTCTGTCAGCTTTTGATACTATGGTATGTTTCTTTACTAAATGAAATGGGCAGTTTGCCCCTTTTCTTCAGGCTAGAAAATGTTTTCCTCTGCAAGACAGTTAAATTAAGAACTACACTTAAACCTACTGGACAATGAAGATCTTTTTAAGGTTAATTTTATGAAATCATTCAACTCCTTTCTTACATACTAGCTTTACAGGCTCACTATGTATCATATATAATTTTTTACAATTTTGTTTTCTAAAACACTGATAAAGATTCACATTTATTACCATTACCTTATATCTTGTACAGTCCTCATCTGCAGTCATGGCACTTTTCATGTAAATTATATTAAGTCTCACAGTATTCGAACATTTTTCTCCAAACTAGTTCTTTGCTTTATCAACTTGTTTTTCTTCAATGAGGCTCTTTTAATGTTTATTCACATATTTTTACGCAATTAAATATAAGGGGTAGGCAGTAGAGCTAGTGTTTAAGTCTCTAATTCCTCCTCCCAGAACACAAGTTAAAGAAATCAGAAATTCTTGCTGGCAGATTTATTTTTTTCTATTCTTTCCATTAAGTGAAACAAAAAAACCTTGGACATAATGTATAAAACAAGCATGAGACAACCCTGGAAAGTGAAGAGAACACCATTTAAAGACTCTAGGCTCAAGGATGGACAGAGTGCTGAATTCCCTGTATTTCTGCCATGCCTCAAATATCCCAGGCTTGAGGGGGATGGAGCAACTGAGAAATACCAAAAGGTACAGAGTGGGTAAAAAAACCCCAAACAAAAGCCTGCTCACTCTGTACAAAGGCCCAAGGGAAGGGTAGCCTGGTAAGACTCAAAAAACAAGAAACTTTTCACACAATAAATGCCCTGTTCCAGGCAAATACCACCATGAAAAAATCATGCCTCCTTCCCCATGTGTGGCAGCAAAGGCCAACTGCATTTGCAGCCTGGCCACATTAAAAGGTAGCATCCCAACACCCAACTGGGATAGTGTCAGTGGACATGCAGTCAGCCACACAGGGACCCATGACAATGGTGCTGGGGAGTCCACTCAGAGCACCCAGACTTCCACCCATAACAGGCAGTAAGGTGCTACTTGCCACCGCCATCCCTACATCAACCAGCTTCTGTCAGAGAAGGCCCAGTGAAAAATTGGGACTTGCACCATTACCTAAGAGAGGAGACTAGGCTCCTAGCAGTGTTCCTGGACCACATGGGAACTGAAGCTGCTACTGAGCCAAGCAGTCACCACAGCTAAAGAAACAGTTCTAGATAAATTTTATATTCTACAAGAGACGTAAGTCTCCTGTGTCCATGGCCCAATACCTGAGGCCACAGTTTTCAAAGGCTGTGATCACTTAAAAAGTACCAAAGAATGTCTGCTTCTATGTTTACCATAAAAAATTAAAACTGAGAAACTTGATAAAACATAAGCATATTTTCTGTTGGTCCGAGAAAAGATATCTACCATATATCATGTAATTAGAATGCTTCACTCAACACTCCTAAGTGAATGACAGTGAAAAATAGCAAATGTTTTACTATTACCATGAAAACAGTTTTGGCCTTGTGATCTCTAGAAAGAGTTTTGTAAAACCCTGCACTATACTCTGCCAACTGCTGCTCCAGGGGACACTATGAGCAAGTCTATGGCACAGTGCCATACACAGTAAGGCACTGACAGCAAGAATGAAGTCAGAGCTGTACAGACTTGAGGACTATAGCACACTACTGATTAGGTACCCAGCATCTCAGGCCTCACCCTAGAGCAAATGGATCAGAACCTTCACAAGACTTCAGGTGACTCAAAAACACAATTCTACCAAGTTTGAGAAGAGCTGCAGTAAAGCACGTTAAACAACTAGAACTTATCCTATCCTGAAGGCAATGAAGAACCTAATATATCATGATAAATCAACTATCACTTAACAGGTACACGAATTAACACCTAAATAAGGATACTTATCTGCAAACAAGTGTCTTCCGGGACCAAAAAAAAAAAAAAAAAAAAAACCCAACCACTACTGCCACAGCTACAAAGTAATCAGCATCTCTTTTGTAGATATTTTAATTTTATTTTGAATTTACACCTTATAAAAGCCAAAACGTCAAAATCAAACATATTTTCAAACTATTTAATGACAAGAATCAGTGTGTTTCAACTTGTTAAATCATTGCTTTGTTAAATAAGCAAAATTTTTACCAGGTCATTATTCTTCAGACTACACTGTCTTCTCTCTCATTCATCCTCTATTTCCTTCTCAGCCACTAAGCAATTACTTCCTTGTTAAGGAAGAACAAAGAGGAACCATTACTTTTTGGCTTCCTAACATTAATTATCATTTTAAATAGTGTTTTTATTAATGAGTAATACATGATCTGACAATAGGCACTCAGACATCACCAAATTTTAGTATTTTGCCAATAGAAAACCAGTTTTCAAGTAAAACTGGGGGAAAAGAGATGCAGGAGGCTAAGTATGAGGAGCTCAAACACTACTTGATGATTAAGTTTTTTTTAACTACCGGGCACAGCAGAGATTTGCAGTTTGCTACTAGGCTGCCAAGGTAACTCGCATCTAACACTGAAGGATCCCACCTTTTAAAATAACAATCACTTTGTAATTTAATGGTAATGGATTTTTAAAAACAGATATGAATGTCCTGAGAGTTAAACACAAGACCAATCAAACAGGATAAAGGCACACATAAACAAATGTAAAAATATTAAAAATCTAAGTATTCTGGAATACACAAAACATCTCCTCTGGCATTTTGGATATGATAAAGCTCTATATAATTTTTAATGTTTATGTACTTATTGTTTTTTGTTTTTGTTGACTTTGTTGTGCAGTACTGGGGATCAAATTCAGGGGCGATCCACCACGGAGCTACATCCCTAGCCCTTTTTGTTTATTTTGAGACAGGGACCTGCCAAACTGGCCAGGAATTTACAAGTCCCCCTGCCTCAGCCTGTGGAGATGCTAGGGTGACAGGTGTGTACCATCACACCTAAAAATCTGAATTAATGAACACACCATTTCTTCCTTACAGGAAGCAAACTCCACCTATGGAGTCTGTAAAGCTCATCAAAGAAAAGCAAGCTCAAAGGAAAAACTGAAGGTTGAGGTTTACTGCAACATAGGTATGTAGGAAATTTGAAAGATCATGTAACATTTTTTGTGTGTGTCTTTTTGAGACAGAGTCTCCCTAGGCAATTCAGGCTGGCCTTGAGCTCACTTTGTAACCCAGGTTGGTCTCAAACTCACAACGATCCTCCTGTCTCAGCCTCCCGAGTGCTGGGATTACAGGCATGTACCACCATCCACCACCGCCTGGTCGATCATGTAACTTTTAATAGGATTAACAATTTCTTAGTCTGAAGTCCTATTAAGTGTATAACAACAAGTAATTAAAATAAACATAAAAATGGAATCTAGTAATAGTGACAGAACTACAACTGTCAAGTTTTAGAAAAGAATTTAAATTACCAGGATTTTTTTTAAAGCTACTTCTGACTCTGCTGTGGATTATCATTCCCCAACTCTACTTTTTCCCACAAAAAAAGACAATCATTCTACATTTAAAAACCATATTTTTCTTTTTTTTTTTTTTTTCCCCCGGTACCAGGAATCAAACCCACGGCCTCGCGTTTCCCAGGCAGGCACTGTGCCGCTGAGCTAAATCCCCAGCCCCAAAAACCGTATTTTTCAATGTACTAAAGTAAGTACACTGGAATATATTATGAAATCAAATGAGAGTTATGGAAGAGAATAATTTTAAGTTCATTCATCAAAAAATTAAGATCAGTAAAATTACAAAGAACCGTACAAAGCATAGCATTTCAGGTAATAAAATAGGAACACCCAAATATATGTGCTGAAAACACTCCTGTAGTCTCAATATACTACACAGACCAAATAGTTAAGAACAGCAGCAGAAAAGACCAGTTTCTAGCTATGAATAAAACCTGGCAAGGGAAAAGAGACAAAATCAAGAGATTTAAGACTGGGTACAATTTCTGGTGAGTAGAATTAATATTTGTTGAGTAACACTTAGCGTTTGAGGTAAACTTTATTCCCTTGATCTTCCACATCTCTATGAGGTAAGGTCTTTATTTTACAAAGAGAAACTGAGGCTCAAGCCAGACTTAAACTACAACTTAGTTCTGATTTATAAAGGTTTATGTATTTCAACAACTCAGCAGAGCCCTGACCCAAACCCAGGTTTGCCAAACCAAAGGTCAAACCTTTTTAACATCCAGTTTCCTACTGCATAAACAACTGAGTTTAACTGAAAATTTAATTATTCATAAATAGTGCACCGGCTATTAGTTTATTCTTTATCTTCTTGTCAATCTTTTATTAAAACTACAAAAAATTCTGTGTATCCTTCTAATGTTCTACTTAACTCAGTCAAAACTTTCGTCTTGCTAAGTAACATCTCATTTGTTTTTCATCTTCTCACTTAATATTAACTGCTTTCATAAGACAGAGGGTTTGTCAAAGTCAGTGGATCAATAATCCATTTGTTCTGTTTGAAAATGCTAGCATTAAAGTGCTTCTACAACATTTGAGAAAGGCCAGGAGTAAAATATACTCTGCGGGAGGAGATTCAGGAGTGGAAGAAAACTACACAAAACAGTAGTAAGAAAAGACAGAGGAGAGAAAGTATAAGAGACTACACCTGACCATCAGCTGGACTGAATTTTTTATATAGACCTGTGGCTGATGATGTCTTAAAAATAACGCACAATACAGTACATGGTAAACCTTTGAGTGATTAATTCCTAAACGTAAGCCAAGTACTTTTGTTTCTTTTTGGCGCTGGAGACTGAACTAAGAGCCTCAGGCACACTAAGCAAACACTCTACCAGGTAGGTACAGCCCAGCCAGCCAAGTACACCTTTAATTTCGATTTTAAAAAGACAGTCAAGATTGTGGCAGGTTTTATATAAAATCTGACAGGTTAGGCTCTTGGTAAAATACAGCTTTGGGAATAAATCTCTTTTTTCACTGTAATAACTTTACCCGCCACTTACTTTTCGCCTGTCTCATTACTGAATGCTTTACAGCTTACACTTACTACAGACAGATACCCAGATACAGCTATATATATTGCCCATACTTAAGAATACTGAGTTAGAAACTGAAATTTAAAGAAATGGTACTAACCTGCCCGGACTACCACAACTCAGTTTCTGTAGAGTAGGGACACGTTTTAAGCAACATACAAGAAGTTTCCGAACTTTTTTGTACACGAGCCTATTTAAGAAAAAAATGTTTTGAGTCCCAACATTATAAAACTACATTACACATAGTGATAGAACGACGTGGAGTAAATCTACACAGGTCTAATGGCCCTTTCTGCCCCGTGAGTTGTTGTCTGCACAGGACGACGCGGACGCCTGCAACCCAGCTGCGGGGCTGCAGGACCAGGCCGAGGGTGAGACCGCAGGCCAGCGCGGGCGACGCAGGAGCCTCCTCTCCCGGGGGGCTGAGGCCGTCGCTCTGGGGCGCAGCGCCTGCCTAGGGCGTGGGTGTCGGGCTCAAACCTCAGCGCCACAGAAGCGAGACGATGAGCAGGAAAATCCCTGCACAGCGCGCTCCGCGGCGGGCCGGCTTCCCTCCCTCCGGAGCGCCTCCGAGCGCTCGCCCTCAGGACGCCAAGCCCACCCTGCTCGCGCCCAGAGGCCGCCGGGCCCGCGCGACCCCAAAGAACCCGCGCACACGCGCA